TATTCAGCAGAGTGTGTGTCTAATGCCCACCAGGAGATCACATGCAGTCTCTGGTCTGAACATCCAGAGGCAACACAGCCCAGCTGCTAATGCCGCCTGGCTTCAAACTCCAGCTTTGCTGCTTGCCTGCTCTGTGATAGTCTAGGGCAAGTAACTCACCGTGCTCATGGCTCAGTTTCCTTATCTGGAACATGGAGTTAATAATAGGACCTGCCTATAGGATTGTTGTGAGGTGTAAATGTGACAATATATGTAAAATGCTTTAAAGGCTAAAGCAAATATTAAGTGCCATGAGAGTGTTGGGTATTATTATTATTATTATTATTATTGGTATTGTTATTATTATTATAGAGGTGGCAATTTTTGTCATGTGGGCTCTCCAAATTCAACAGACAGGTACAGGTGACTCTTCTCTGCTAGGTGCTTTGTGGACTCTATCACTGATCATCATGAAAACACCCTGTTATGAATAGAGACACTGAGACCTTAAGCCTCCCAGGCCAAGGTCACAGTTGGTAAACACTGGGACAGAGACTCGATCCTAGGTCTGTCCGACTCTTAAGCCATGCTCTTGCCCTTAGTACAGACTCAAGTTCTCCTGAAATTTTGCATTGAAGTTTAGACCAGATCTAACCTGCTCCTGTTAAATGTTCCTCACTGCTTTTTGGGTCAAGTGTAATGTCTCGGTTCAGTGTTCCTCCAACAGCATCCCCTTATGCTGCCAGGCCCACTGAGCCCCAAACCTCTCCGCTCCTCTCCAGGCTGGTTTTCAGGTGAGTTCCCAGTCCCTCTCTAGACTGGAAGGCCCTGGAGGAGCCTCCAAGCACCCTCCTCCCTCGGTATATTTACTACACTCACTTGATCTTGGCGTGGGCCCGGGTGCTGGTGACCAACCGGAGGGACAGCTCATTCTCGTAGCGAGGGATGTCGTCACAGTACACGGCCTCCCCAGACGCCTGCATGGCCGCGGCCAGGTGGGGCAGGGACCGACCCACCATGTCCTCTTCAGACTGACCCTTGGGCACCTCCTGGAACGACATGGTCACAGTCAAACTGAGCTGCAGAGGACACTGTTTCCCTACAGGCCTGGGGAAACTGCAGAGAGCTCAGGCCACAGAAAACCTGAGAAGTAGGATGGAGGAGGCTGAAGGGACATAGAGCGAAGGAACAGAAAGGCATTGCACAGGGTGATCATAGTATCAGGATACACAGGGGAAAAAAATAACTAAAGAATCTCAATGTCCATTCATTGGGGGTTGAGTAAAAAGCTTACGCTACACACATACAATCGAATAGTATGCAACTATTAAGACATTTGAAGAATTTTAATTAGGAGGAAAGAATGTTCATGTTAAATGTAAAAACAGGACATAAAACATTGTGTGTGCAAATGATGATTTTAATTCTGTAGGAAAAATATATATGTTATAAATATGACATATCCATGTCATATATGCATAGGATAAAAAGGAAAGAAGTCAACAAAAATATAATGATTTTCTCTTGGAGGTGGGACTTTGGGTGATTTTTGTTTTCTTCTTTATATCTTTCTGTACTTTCAAAAATGTTCTAAAAGGTATTTATAACAAAATTATGTGTTTTTCAAAGAAATGATAATAATGGGTAACATTGCACAATTTTAATGGATGCCAGAAGCTAATCTAAGGTATTTACTTTTACTAACACATTTAATCCTCAGAACCATCCTATGAAACAGGTACCATCGTTAGAGACACTTGCAGAAGTCACAAAGAGGAAATGACTTGTCTAAGGTTACACAGTCACAAAATGGCAGAGTCAGATTCAATCCGTGGAGCCCAGAGTTCACACTCTGGACCACCATACTCTAATGCAACAGTTCACAAACTGAGGCCCATGGGCCAAATCTGGCCCACTGCCTGCTTTTATAAATTAAGTTTTATTGGTCCATAGCCACACATATTCATTTATGTATTGCCTTTGGTCACTTTTATACTATAATGACAAAGTTGAGGAGTTTCAACAGGAACAGTATGGCCCACAAAATCCAAAGTGTCTACAAAAAAAGTTGATCCTTTACCTAGCACTTCTCAAAAAATTGCTGTTGACAGAAAGTTGTTGTTTTGTTGTTATGGTCAGGAGAACTCCTGGCTTTGCACATCAGCCTTACGGTGGCACCAGAAAAGACAAAATGGGGATAACATTTTTTTTTTTTTTTTTTATTCTTTAAGGAGCCGGTGAAGAGGAGAGTGATCCCAAAAGAGAAAAAATTTAGGTAAGGAAGGAGGAAAATAGCTTCATTGACATTTTTATGAATCCCATTTTCTTCACTGGATATGTATGCAAAGCAATAAGGAGCTTTAAGCACCTACATACGACTCAAGTTGGTCATTCACCAGTGGTCAGCACCATCTGACGCGCCCTGTAAGGGCCTGTGATATTAGCCATACATCAGGTATACTCACTTGGAAGAGCTGGACGTTGGCTGGAGGGTCCTTCTGAAAAAGTAAGGTGGCACTGGCATGGGTGGGGTCCAGCTTGCCACACTTCTGTGGAGGCAAGTTTACAGGAGTGATCATGACTAGGTCTATCATTGATCCTACCCTTGGTTGTCCCCAAGTGGGAACGGTAACACTGTTCCCCGCATCTCCTCATTTTACACTTGCAGCTCTGGCTGGCTCTGTCTCAACATCATACGTGGGCCCCGAGAGCACTGTATTTTATAATAGCCTCAGCCGCTACCCCACCCCTGCAGCCTGCACGGTGCATGATTTGTGCTTCCTCCGACACACCAAATGCTTTCCCTCCCTCCTGCATTTATTCATGGTGCTCTTTCTCTCCCTGCCTTGCTGGGAATGTCTTCTTCCTCCTTATTTCTGTGGGAAATATTTAATGATATGGGAAAGGCACACAATACAATCTCAACAGAACCAAAGGAAACGTAAAATTCTATATGCAGCATGACCTCAAATTTGTTTAGAAAATGATATGTCCAGATCAAAAGAGAGCAAGATGACAGGTACACAGATAGATTGATGGAAGGAGAGACAGAAAGAGAAAGAGAGAAAGAGGATGACAGAAGATGGACATATAAATGCAGGATAAATATCAGAGAAAAAAGAAAAATTAGTAACAGTGGGTTCCTCTAGGATCTGAGAGAAGAGCAATTTTAAATAAAAAAAAAAGTTAATTAACAAAACAAATTTTAATTTTTTTATTTAAAAGTTATAAAAATCTTTAACTTTCTATTGTAATTTTTAATACACTTCTGTATTCTTAAGTTTTCCATAGTAAGTTCACTACTTTTATAAATTTGAAAAAAATCAGAGGGCCTGAGTGGCTCAGTCAGTTAGGTGTCTGACTCTTAGTTTCAGCTCAGGTCATGATCTCACAGTTTATGAGGTCGAAACCCACTTGGGATTCTCTCTCTGCCCCTCCCCCACTCACATGCATACATGTCCTCTCTCTCTCTCAAAATAAATAAATAAATAAATAAATAAATAAATAAATAAATGTTTTTTAAAACGGAAAAGAAACAAAACTATTATGAATGTTTTTTAAAGAGGGATTTCAGTCTGCTGCCCCACATCTGTAGAGGCGTCTCTCCTTAGCGCTCCCCATGTCACCTTCCTAGTAGTCACTCTAGGCTGGCCTTCAGTAATCATGGGGCTGTCTCTGGTGCTGAGTGCAATGTTATGCATAAAAAGTGCGACGTAAATGCTCACTGAGTCAATATGGGGAGCTGGGCTCCCGCTCAGACACGCCCTCTCCATAATGCACACCCTTGCAGTGGCCTGCCAAAAGGATCATCTGGTCTACCACACAGATCAGCAGATTTTCCAACTAAGAGTTAGAGAGTTGTGACCTATTCAAGTTTCAAGTGAGGTAATGACTCAGTCAGGACCAGAACCCTAATCGCTGATGCCCAGCCCAGTGTTCTGCCCCTCAACCATCCCATTGGCTCCCATCTCCACGTGGTTCCCTGGGCTACGTGTCCCTGGAGCAAGGGTTCCTCTGCCCTTAAACATCAGAAGGGAGAAGCAAATTTACCACCTGGTCCACAGTACTCCCCCACTCAGACTGGCTTCTTCGATCCCCAAGCAAAAGTCCTGCAGGGAGTCTGTATCTTGCCCACATCCCACACTCACATCTTCTGAGTTCTCTTTGCCCAGTTTCTTAAGCACTGTCAGGTAGAACTTGAAGAAGAAGCTGAGGGTTAGGGTACGCCGGAACTCCACCATGCCACCAGGGGCATCAGGGGCCAGGGACAGCTCCTCTGCCAGGCCAGCACACACATCCTGCAGCAGCTCCTCATTCCAGAAGCTGCAGGAGAGCAGAAGGTGGGAGAACACAGGGTAGCAGTCAAATAAACTTGGTTCAAAATTTGGCTTGGATACTTACAGTTTTGAAACTTAAGGCAAGTTATTTGCTTG